TTTTTGGTTTTCTCCGGTACCGGGAACCGAACTCACGACCTTGCACTTGCCAGGCAGGCGCTTTTGCCGCTGAGCTAAATCCCCAGCCCCTCCTTTGTTTATTATTGAAATGATGCATATTCTGGGGTTTGAATCTGATGATGCAGGATATGGAGAGGAAAAAGCTGCTGGGACATGAAGGGATGTGATTCTGAGGTCAAAGGGAGCAATCACTTTTGGTAAGACCAACGACAGTTCATTAACAGAAGAACTAGCAGTGTGTATGGACACAGATGCTTACATAGGATTGTGCTTGAGGGAAAATGTAGGTGCTCTTTTCTAATATTTTCCATTTTGAACCAATGGAAAAAAGACATCAGCCAAAAGTGAGGATGGGAGAAAAGATGTTAAAGATTTATTGACAGAGGGAAATGGTATGTTGATGCCAGGTAGCATTAAGGACCAACTTGCAATTAATGTTCCTGAGTCTGAGGTAGCCATGTGTATTTATTTTTGTTAAGTCAATCCTGCAGTGCCCCATGGCACACATGCTGAGTATCCTATTCCTACTGAGGCTGTTAAGGGTGATTTGGGCATTGGTTGGCTCTGCTGAGGTATGCCAAGCAACTCTCCTTCAAGCCTTAAGTGCCTCTAGAATTTCTTCCTCTCTGCTCATTGTATTTATGTATTTATTATTTTCGTACTTTAATTTTAATTTTTTTATTTTAAAGAGAAACAATCAAAGTAATACAGAATTTCAATATAAGATGATAAAAAATTAACAATGGTTATTATATTGTATATCGTTATCTTCAAAGTAGTTGCTCAAATTACCAGATACAGGCATGCAAAATTGATCAAACAATATAAACACTAACTGTTCCTTTCAGTGAACGAATAGAAATTAGTAGTACAATTATCTTAGCTATCTTGTGTGTGTATATATTTTTTTTCTTAAAATTTCCCTTCCTTTTTATCTCTTTTCCCCCATCCCAGTTGTTCTTTCCCCTTGAGCAGTTTTTTTTTCCCTTTCACAATATCTATTGTACCTTTTAGATCTTATTTACTCTTTCAGTTTCTTATGCTAGGGAGACAATACGATGTTTACACATAAGAGTCTGATTTATTTCACTATAAACTCGAGACTTTTATAGGTAAATGGATGCGCCTAGAGACCATGTTCACTGTATTTAAGTCTGCTCCATGGGTATTTCTTTTGGGACCCATGCAGAAGGGGCAGAAAATATGCAAGAGAAGCTCTTTTGAAAAAAAGGCACCTGTGCAAGAGAGTAGGTGGAACCCAACTAGCTTCTAGAACCCTTGCCCTGGAGTTGGCATGTGGGCATTCCTGCCAATGTGCTTTCATCCAAAGCAAGCCATGTGGGTGTTCCAGTGGGTGGTAATTCCAAGTCACCTGGCAAAGGATGTTGATGTATAATATTAATATTGGGCCAAACCTAAAAATTACAACCTTCCAATTCATTATCATTTATAACCAGTGGATTGTTTTTGCCAGGCTTATTCAGATAAATGAATAGAATTAAGAAATAAATGAGAAAAATATGCACAAATTCCCTTCCACTGTGTCTGGCACATACTAACCACAAGAACATAGCTTGCCCTCCATCACGACTTTCAATATTATTATTAAACACAACAATCTGAGACAGTTTGCATCTACCGAGCACTTACTACATGCCGGCTATTGTTGTATGTGTTCAGCAGAAAACTTTTGCTACTTCTTACTCCAAATCATATTCAAATTTGAAAGAAATAAATTTCAGAGTCACAAGATGCACTAAATAGAATGTTTATGTGATTAGTTGGGAACATGCTGTATCCCTGCTGGAAGCACAACCCTGAACCATTAAGTCTGAGGCACCAAGCAGCAGTTTGTTCAAGACTAACATTCAACAAAATGTCCCTTGGCGATCACAGCTCTGAGTCAAGCAAAAGTTGGTTAAAGGAGATTCTATGTCTCCTGTCATCTGTCGTTACAGACCACACGATAGGTGCACAATAGCTGTAACCCCCATAGGCTTAGGAGATGTGGTTCCCAGATTTTTCGATACTTGTTTCAAATCCTCCCCTCCAAGGTATTCTTGTTTTGAAATGTTTTAATCACCAAACCACATGTAATAGGTAGTAATTAATTTGTACCTCTGCTTCTCCTTCCCACCACAATCATGACGGTGATCACAAAGACGAAAGCAACGGTAACACTTCAGTAGTGTCCCTGCAGCTGTGCTTGATGGCCTTCCTGTCATTTGCTAAGCCCACAATTCAGGTACTCTCACCCACCCCGCTTCCTGACAAGGAAGTTGAGGTTTAGTATCATGATACAAATCACAAGCTGGTTTGTATGGCTAAATTAAAGATTTCTAGGACTCTTTTAAGTAAACATAATAGTCCAGGAATCCCCATACCTGCCTTCAGGTCCCTGGAAGAGGAAACTAATGCACAGAGAACTTCAAAGACATTGCTAAGGTCTCACAGATAGTGAGAGAAGATTGGAGTCTTGACTCTACCTTTGGGCACTCTTTGCTGCTACTCCTCACTGCAGAATGGGAGGATTCTCTTTACAAAGCAAGCTTGAAAAATTCATTCCTCACATAAACTCAGTGCTTCTGATAAAGTCACTTTGCCTCATGTCTCATAAACAAGACTTGTGCTTGTGCCTATTAAATTTCTGGGCCAGGGATATAGTTCAGTGGCATAAGTGCCTGCCTGGCAAGCACAAGGTCCTGAGTTCCCAGCACCAAAAAAAAAAAAATAAAAAAATAAAAAAATAAAGTTCTGATTTAGTGCTGTACCAAATTCTAATTTTACTTCTTTATAAAGGAAAGTCAGAAAATGTAAGAGTGTGTGTGTGTGTGTGTGTGTGTGTGTGTGTGTGTGTGTGTGTTGGAATAAGAGAGTAGAGAAGACTAGGGAAAAAACTATTCTTTACTGTTGTTTTCTTCTTTAAATAGAAACTCTTTTAGGATGGAAGAGTCACAATAATCTTATCATAGAGCTGTGTTATCAGTACAAGCACATAATCAGCTAAAAGATATTCTGAGTGCTAAGTGACTTAGGAGATATACACCACATCTGGGACCTTGTGCACCAGGATGTCCTAGTGTTCTAGTACAGTCTATGCTGGATCCAAATTTGGAACCCACACACTCTTGGACTGAAACATAAATTCCTTTATTTCTCCCCCAAACACCCTGCCCTGCTTTCTTTCCCAGCTGTGCACACTGAGGGTTTCAGTTTTGTTCAGTAGGTTAAGGGTGATCTCGGTTGGATGAGTTGAGAAAGGTTGGCTGTTGTGGCGTGGGTACTGGTCATCAAGCTGAAGGGAGAACAGCGTCTGTAGAGGGGACGATGCCGGGAGCAGGTTAGCAGAGTGGAGTTTTACTGGGTGTGTGACTGCAGGTGGTCGGCGGCTGGAGTCTGCCAAAAGCAGGAGAATTGAAGGGACTGAGAAGGCAGGGTCTGAGTCGAGCTGAGTCAAGGTAGGTGTGGAAGTTATGAAGAACAGTGACAGAAATGGAGTCCGAGAAGAAGGCCGTGAGGTAGGTGTCCAGGTCCCCTGTGAGTGAGAACAGCCATCAAGAGGCCAGAAAATGTCAGCAATATGGGGGCAGGAGAGGTCACAGAGCCTCAGCGAAACTGGAGTTCTGAGAGGGGAAGTTGCATTAGTTCAAAATTAGTCACTCTCAACCTTGAGGATGCGGCTCCATCTTAGGCCCCACTGTATTTTGGGAAATGGGAGGGGGAGCTTCCGTTTTCACCCATTTTCCTGAGTGACTAACTCCCGAATACACCCTAATATCCATGTGCACCTGGGCACACTGGGCAGCTGTGGAGATAGACGTCCCTTTAGTGAGGCCAGGGGTGGAATCTTAAAGGACAACAGGCCTACAGAAAGTGCCAGAGAGCCACAGCGGTGGCTCTGGGAGTGGCTCTCTTCCCTGGGCAGAAGGGCCGCGTCCAAACGGCTGCTGACTGGAGCCTTTCTCTCTCACTGGGCTACAGGGGAACTTCCGTTTGCTCTAGCAGCCAAGCAGAGCACATTCAAGAGCGAATAAAATGTCAGGCTCTCTGGGGCTCTAGGGTGGCAGTGATGCCGTGAGTGTTACATCTTGGGAAGTCTCCGCATGACCTCTCCTGGGAACCTGTTCCTGGACCTTGAGAACGTGCATGTAGGACATTTTCCACCGTGGTGACTCCTCCCTGGTTACACAGACAGCTCTACTGCTCTTTAGAAGCAGGTGGAAAAAATTTTTCTTAAATAGAATTATTATGAAAAGTGTTTCAGGTTACCTTAAAGACACGTTGGTCGATGACTGGCTCTTTCCCACACACTCCATCGGTGTGTGACTGAGTTGTTCCATGCTTTCAGCTGGACATACCTTGAATGAGGTCTTTGTCATGGCAGCTCTAGGCTTGGCTTTGCCAGTGCTGACCGAAAGCCAGGGGAGCTTACTCCACGTTCCCTTGCTGAAGCACTCTATTTAAGGATTTGGTGAGTGAGGCAGCCTGCCCCAGGTTATCCCAGACCTAGCAACCCACAACCATGCAAAAACACAGAGGCTCCCCCAGGGGCTCTTGCAACAGCTCCATGGCCAAGTGCATTTTTGGCACCTGGAAACAGAGCCTTCTGCTGGAAAAGTTTGCTTACTATCCACCCTCCAAGATTGGGAAGGCAGGGCCAAGGCTGAAAAAGCTACACCTACTGAAAATCAGCCACCTCAACTCTCCCAAAGGGGACTAAAGTTTGTGTGCCTTTCCACTGGGACCATCCATCTCCTCCAGCCCTTTGCAGTGGTCCCCATCTTGATTGGTTCCCTTTCACCACTACAGGAAGAGATGAGGAATGCAGCCCCATGTCCATGACAGCAGCTCCCAAAGGCCGAAGAGCTGCATTACTTTTGGATAGTGGACATTTGTTGGAGAAGTCCAGTGGTTAGAGAGGGCATCACTGTGTAGTTTGTCCAGAAGTGACACAGTGACAGCTACAGGGGCAGTGGCTTCAGGATTAGGGATATAAATGGAGACAACATTGATTTCTATGCCTATAGAGCTGTGCCTTAATTACACCGATGAACGCATTTTAAATTCTGGTTTCCGGTTTAGTCCACCGCTCTTTGCAGGCATTCGTCAACGCCAGAGATGTCACAGGTGCCTCCTCACAATGCTTTGTGCTCAGTGCTCCTTCCAGGGTCAAATAGAGCTTCTTCTTCACTTCTTTCTGAGCCTCTCCTCTGTGCGGACGTGTGGTCATCATTTTCCACCTCTGCACATCAAAGCCCTCGGCAAAGGACTGGCTATTTTCCCAGGCAAGCTGTTGTATCTAAGCTCAGCAAACAAGAGCAGGTGTGCCTATCTGTCCGTCTCCACGCTGAGCCCACCAGTTAGAGCCGAAATGGCTCTGGCTTTGGTGTCAGGCAGGCCTAAGTTTGGCTCTTTTCTGCCCTACTTGCAAGCCAGGTTACACTGACTGGTGTTAAGACTTCAGAAATTCCTTCTGTAGTATAAGGATATCAATAGCTACCATGATGAACTGGTTATAGTAAAAATTCTCAATCTGTTAGGTGTTTTGTACAAAGAGTGGCTAAATAAGTACTCAATACACATAACTTTCAAACCCAAGTGATCTTTAAAGAAAACTTTAGTAATCTTAAAAGATTAAAAGTGTTTATTCAATACAGTACTAAACTATGTCAAAAGTAATCATGGAAGTATTACAGAGGCCATATTAAATGATGAAAGTCTCCAGAGGATTCATAATAAATTAACAAAGGTTCAGTGATAAATATCTAGTGCCCAACACAGGATGATGATGGTCAGTATCAATCTGGATGTAATTTTCCAAGGCCACATATCTGTCAGTGGTTTATATAAGGGTACAGAGCACATGTTTATCAAATTTACAGGTGAACAGAGGCTAGGAGAGAGTGAACAGTGTAGATGACAGCATCAGGATGAGTAAACACCCTTACTAGTTAAAACAACCCCCAGGTGAAATGTAGCAGGGTTGACGCAAGCTCTTGAACTTGGCTCTAAAAGAATGAACACAATGGAAAAGACAACACCATGCCGGCGTGGGTAAAATCTTTAGGGTACGTAGTTAGACTGCCAAGAATGCTAATGAAAATACGGATCAACAAAATCAGAGTACATATAACGAAAGAAGGGTACCTGAGACTTGCATCCAAACCTCAATAGGCATAGAGACAAACAGCAGTGACAGTAAATTACTTTTACACCACCTTACAGGAATGAAAGTGCTGGAGACTTTTTTTCTAGAAAAGCAAAATCTCAATGAAGAGTGGCTGCTATTTTAAAATAGTATAGAGAAGGCATATGTATAGTGTTCCCCAAGTGGGTTAGATACACGACCCCTGACACAAGGAAACATAAATAAGGTGGTTGATAATGTATTCATGTGAACAATATATAATTATACCAATAATATATAGTCACAGACAATAGAATGATGATTCAGTCAGTGATGAGCCACATGTGTAGTGGTGATCCCATAAGATTATAATGGAGCTGCAAAGTATCTATTACCTGGTGATGCTGTGGCCAAGGTAATGTTAAAACACAGTACCTTATTCGTGGATTTATGGTGATGTTGGTGTAAACAAAGCAACTGCTCCGTCATTTATGTAATCACATAGTGCATGTAATTGTCTGTAGCATGTAATACTTGATCATGATAATAAATAGCTATGCTATGGATTCATGTATTTACTGTATTGTATGTCTTATTATTTCAGAGCACACTCCTGCTTATACAGGAAAACAAGCTAACGGTGAACCCGCCTCCTGCAGGTCCTCCTGGAGGAATTCCAGGAGAAAATGCACTGTTACTGGAGCGGACAAACCCCTGCATGTCACTGTCCCGAGGACTTCCCAGTGGAGCAACTGTGGAGGTGGAAGACAGCGACAATGGTGATCTCAGCTCTGTGCAGGCTTAGGACTGGGCGTGGGTTTGTGCCTTCCTCTTCAACAACAGAAACAGTATTTTGGAATGGGGATGCTGGGGATTGAGCTCAGAGCCTTGATAACAAATTTGAGACATAGAGAAAAGTTTCTAGAATAAGGATATAAAGAAAGAAAACAGTTTTGGACATCTGCACAGTATGTTTGTATTTAAGCTAAGCATTACTACAAAAAGTAAAAATGTTTTAAACATTTAAGTATATAAAGCAAAAAGGGGATAGCGATGTAAGGTTAATTTTTTATTTAAGAAAGCGAAGTACTTTTTAATACACTGAGTGCAGCCTACATGTACAGTGTAAGGGGTGGTCACAGCCAAAGTCTTCCTACTTACTGATGCCCAGAGCGACTTCCTTCCCCCAAGCTCCATCATGGTAAGAGCCTTATTTTGCAGGTTCACCTCTTCTTACACATTCATACTGTATTTTTCATGTACCTCCCTGTCTTGGTTACTTTCTTCTCGTTGCTGGGACAAAAATACCTGACACCCAAAATTAAGGAAGGAAAGGTTATTTCGCTTACAGTTCGTGGAGGTTTCAGTCCGTACTTGGCAGATTATAAGGCAGAGTGGCACATGGCAGAGGGCTACAGCTCATGGTGGCAGAACACAGCAAAGCAACAACCACACACCAGGGAGGACTGGGGGAGGAATCACCTCAAGCACCCTTTTCCTCTCCCTTACATATACAAGCTATCCACCCCAGGGCGGGTGCAGCTCTCACACCCCTAATCAATCAAACTTTAAAAGCCTGCCCCATGGCCGCATGAGGCTTTGGGGGGACATCCAGACACAAACCATACACTCCCTATGCTTAATATGTTTAGATGCACCCATATCTACCACTGTGTCACAGTTGCCTGTAGTGTTCAGTGTGGTGACATATATTCAGACTTGTAGCTGGGAGCCACGGGCTCTGCCACAGCCAGGGAGTGTGGAGGGTACCACTACCGAAGTGTGCGTAAGTGCACCCCACAAAGGTCACACAGTGCATCGAAAGATGCATTTCTCCATATGCATCGCCCACCAGCAAGTGATGCATGAACTCCTATTTAATGAATAATAATGTAATTGACATGTATTAGGAAACCAAAGCATACTAACCCATGAGTCCGTAAATGCTATTGCTTAGTTGGAGATTAAAGTGAGTAAAGCTGAACTGAGATGATGGAAAAGTATTGAGTGTACAAGTATGTGGTGTGGCAAAAGGCATAAGGGTGATGTGAAAGCACTTCTCAGGCAGACAGCAGATCAGATTTTCAAGTCACCCCCAGTGAAGAAAATTGGAACCAATGAGGAGCAGCCACTTGAAGCAGATGTCAGGCAAACATGGTAGACTTTCCGATGAGCACATTCCTAGGGTAAGAGGGGCACTAACTGAGGCATAAACAAGGCCTCCAACCCAGACACGTGGAACCCTGGCAAGAGGACACAAGGCAGGGACAGAAGAGAGCAGAGCTGGCAGGTAAACAGTTGAACTAGGTTGAGTGCTGCTTTCACTTGATTTGGAAAATACTGGCAGAAATCAAGAGGTGCCGTGGGCTCCAGTGAGGCTGGGTTTGGTAACGATTGCCTTTGGGCGTTCGTCTCAGCTCAGAGCCAAGTTCCTCATCTCCAGCTGTGACACATTAGGTAGAATGCATTGTCTCCTCCATCTCCACTTGGAGCCTGGAGAAGAAGACTGTGTTCCCCAATGACAAAAAATGGGACCTAGGGAAAGAATAAAACGTCCCCATAAAGGAGATGGAAAATATGTGTCCTCAGTCCATGACTTCCTCTACTATCTGCTTATAATTTCCAAGCTCAGGGAAAGTTACTGAGTGTTCCTGAACTCCACGTTTTTTTCATCTCTGAAATGAGAGCAATGGTGCTGAACACACGGCTTCTAGGAGGATCATGATCGGCCAGTTCACCTTACCGAGGGTGTGTGCCCCTGGCATAACAGGCACCACCTTCATAGGCGTTTTCACCTACCTGCTTTTTTTCATCGTGCCTTCTGAGTTCATTGTGATCATCACTTATGTAGCTAATCCAGTAATAATTCCTCTCTAATTCTTTCACTCATTAACTCATGCGGCAGACATTTCTGAAGGTTCCGCGGGAACCGGACACAGTGCGAGGTAAGCACAGGGGTGGGAATGATGCTGGGGGTTGCTGCTGAGTTACACCACTTCTCTACATCTACTTAGACCTGCACATCTCAAGATACACTCACATAACATAGTAGATGAGGATTTGCTCTAAAATCGGGGCACCTAGCAAGGGCCGGGAAAGCAAGGGTCCTGCCTGTGTATTTGCTACTGTATGCCCCTTTTCAGCAGAGTCTGACCCATACAGGAGCTCTGTAAGTGAAGTATTAGCCAAATAAATGAAGAAAGAACCTGATGAGTCGGGGGAATCTGCTGAAAAGATCGTTATTGATAGCACTGTTTTACAAGTAGAGAAATAAAGTGTCACTGGCACTGGTGTCTGCCAGTCACTAAGTAACAGGGAAATGTCACTTGAGGGGGAGAGGTCATCTCACCCTCAACATGGGGGTCCATATGAATGGCCAGTAAAGGGGACAGAAAGACAAGGTGTTCTAAAATAATATACAATAGCAACAGAAGTAATAACAGCAATCGAAATGACACCTGAAGAGTTCCCGCCATGATCCAGGCTGTGTAGTGGGAGCTACACGTGGTCACTGCGAGCACCTGTTGGACTTGACCTATAGGGGGGCAGACTCGGGGCTTCTCCATCTTCATCTGCTGAGGTCTCCCCAGGAACTGAGCCTGCCTGGTCCCTGACTCACATCCTCCTCCGGTGACAGAACTCTTGAGACTGGGATAGGGCACGAGGTGACGGGGAGCTGGAGAACTTCTCAGCTTCCGTCTCTTGCAGGATCTCCTAGTGCTTAGCACCATGGGCCAGATATTTGGTTTTAGTCATTGCCTTGGTCATTTCTTCTCTTCTCTCCTTCCTTCCTTCTTTCCTTCCTTCCTTCCTTCTCTCTCTTTCTCTCTCTTTATTTTTTCTTTCTTTCTTTCTTCTTTCTTTCTTTCTTTCTTTCTTTCTTTCTTTCTTTCTTTCTTTCCCCCTTTCTTTCTTTCTTTCTTTCCTGTTAGGTGGCTCAGGCAGTCCTTGAACTTACAATCTTCCTGCCTCTGCCTCCTGAGTGCTAGCACATTCCCCTGTTCTGTCCTGTCGCACCTTGGCCAGTTCTGTGGCTTTACTGCGCTGTTTGATCTTTATAAAAGCACAGTGGAGTAATCAAAGCTCCTCTATGGGGAGCAGAAGGCAAGAGCTTCACCTGTGTTTTCTCTACCAGCACTGTCCAAGAACATTCCCTGAGAGCAGCTTGTTTCACCGTGGGGCCCTCCGGGCTTTGCATGGCCGGCATACTGCTTGGGACTGACTCTCTACAGAGCGTTATAGTCTACTGAAAGCACCAGATTCGATCTTTCTCTCAGAGTACTTTTGTATGCCCAAAGCCCTCAGATGTTTCCCAATTCATGGGCCTTCGGTAGGTCTGTCCTCACCCCTCCTCTGGTTTTCTCCCCCCTTTTTCCACTGTTCTTGCTCTTTGCCACCCGCGGCTGCCCATTTTGCACACGAGATGGCGGTATTGAGCCTGTTTCGCACTTCCCTGCGCTTGGGACTGAGAAACAATATGATGAAATTGCCTTTCCTTTTTACATAAATCACGGAGAGCTAAGTACCCAGCAGCTGTTATTCTTACTCTTCAAACACCATTGTGATGGGCAGGATTTTGTGCAAAATTCCTAATTTCAGGAGTTCTTGAAAAGCAAGCCCTCGGCTGTCTGCGTCTGTACTTCCAGGCCTGAGGGACCCCGTCCTTCTCCAGCGGTTTGTGAGTGGGCACAAGAGGATGGCAGAATGCACAGAACAAAACACAAGGATGGTCCTGGTTTTGTTCTATCTGGAGCACTGCAGTGGTTGGACCGTCTGACGAACTGCAACACCCGGCCTTCCCTTGGGCAGTGTTTCCTCCCCTGTCTCCTGTCATCTTCTGCTGAATCTTCACGACTCCGTTCAGACTCCACTTGGGTGCCCATGTGTCCTGGCTTTCCTTGGACAGTCCTGGTTTACTGCTTATCCTGGCATCTTTATTAACAGTGTTGCATAAGTACACCAGCTTGGTCTCTAAGTTAACTCCAGGTTCTGGAGTCGGACTGTTTGGGTTTGGATCATGACTTTCATATCCCCAAAGTGGATGACCTTGGGCAAGTCATTCGACCTCTGTGGGGTTCAGCTTCTTGCCCTAGAGTTAGGGATAGCACCGTCCTGTTGGCTTATGACCGGAGATTGGAGCGGACGCAGTACAGGGCTTTGATGAATGGCTGCAACACAGCAGCTCTCAGTGTGACAGTTGATGCTAACCCGGATTCCTATATTGTGGACAAGCCCAAGGAGGTTCAAAGTAACCACTGCAGGAAGTGACTTAGGATCCTGAGGACTGTGTGCAGGTTCCAAGGAGAAAAGAAGCAGGGTAGGAGCTCAGTGTTGAGTCTACAGTGGGTCACAGTGCCTCTCTGGCATCAGCATTACCTGAAGTTGGCGAGAAGTAGTTCCCCAGGCTGTGCCTCGGACAGTAAGCAGACACTTCAGCCATTGCCAAGTTCCTAGCTGAAGGTGCTGAAGGTGCTGCTGGGAGGTGGGTCACTGGGGGCACGGCCTGGAAGGCTGTGTTCTTGCCCTAGCTCCTTCCTGACTGCCGTGGTTTGAGCAGTTCTCCTCCTCCATGCCCTTCTGCCATGCCATTTTTGCCTTGGAGCCAGGCTACCTTGGACTGAACCCTCTGAAACCTATGAACCAAATACATGAGCCAAAACCTTTTCATCCTTTAAATTGCTGTCATGTATTTTGTCCTCGTTGACCGGTACGAGAAGGGCCAGTCACAAGGCTCCAACCAGCAACAGAAATCTTGGTTAACTAGGAAAGGTCAGGCCTGATACACTCCTGAGCCCTTCAGCTGAAGACAACCCTATAGAGCTCTCATCTGAGGGTTACAAATACCAACTTAGCAACCTGAATGTGTCCAAAGTATGCATTTTGTTTGGCCTGTTAAAAAGAAATTAGCCATGAATAAAACAATTGGTCCAACATAAAAATCCTGATCTCTCATTTCCTTTAAAACTTTGGAAGGTCTGGCATCTCCAGGTGGCATCGCTACCAAACCACAGTTGACTGCATTGTGGAGCTGCTGCCCACCTAATCAGGGGGTGCAGCCTCTAGCTTCACTCTTGTGCATACGTGGCCTGTCCTCCCTGTTCCTGTTTGAGACTTGAGTGCTTTCTCTTGCCTTCAGACAAGGAAGCCTAGAACTGGAGAGTGGAGGGACTTGTGTGAGGCACCCAGCCCCAGCTCTGAGGTAGGGGAAGAGAACTCTCACATCTTTTGAGCAGGGTCTTGAAGGGGAAAGCACGTGAGCAGCCTAAGGAATGGTCTTGC